GGGGGAGTATAAACGCGACTGTTGGCGACGATGTTTTTTTTTCCATTGCCTACAGTGATATATCCAACCCACCCGAAGGATTGGGTTTTTCCTCTTAAAATATACCCCGATTCGTTTTATCTCGTACTTCCATGGCGTTTTTATTTTGTGGGGCGGTTTAAAATGGCTGTTTGTATCGGATGGGAGAAATTGTTTTTTTGTATTGCCGTAAATAAATAAGTCTAAGTTGTTAGTATGTGAAATGTTGGCTTTAGTTTCAGAACGTAAGTAGATATTGCGGATCCCAAACGTATTCTAAGCTCAAGTGAGGGAGGGTCTTTGAAAATTGGATGTCTTCTCATTGTCCCTACTTGCCAAAACATTTTTCCCTGTGTAAATGTAATCTGGATGAAAGCTTGCCAAAATAAAGATACACCTGACCTACATATTTAGTAGGTGCCCAAATAAATAGTACACTGTGTGTCATGATGCTGACTTGTGGCAATACCATTTGTTTGTCGTTTGCTATTATTGATACAAGATCGAACAAAAACAAAGAAAATTTATTTTTTCTTTCTTTTCTGACTGGACTCAAACCAAGGACTGTTTGCCAAACCGGGGCTAACTCTCACCAACTGAGTTACGAACTCGATCCGTAGCGCAGTGATTCGCGTCCAGTCGGATAATATAAATTATCCTTTAAGAAGACAAACCTCATACCTCACTAAAAAAACTCATATGGCATAATATGAAATTATTTTTAGTGGAGACATTATAATTGATCTATCTGCTTTCATTCGTCTCTCCAAAATATATTGTATGCATCCTTTTTTTGAGAGTTCGTCCAGGGAAGTACTGCCATCTATTTCTGCCGCCAAGCAGTAATGTCAGCATGACTGTGTTCCGGTTTTGAAGGGTAAGGCGCTGGTGAAATTCTAGGCACATGGAACTTGTCTACTTTTGTCTCAGTGCGCCTCAGATCTTTTGCTATTTAAAGCTCTGAGTGGCACTGCAACTGTTATGGACAGGCGTATAGCTTACCATCAGGCGCACCACTGGTTCGAAATTTGTTTTTCTTAAATGTAATACCTCTACGCAAGCGAAACAAAAGGTTTTTTTAGGGACTCTAAAAAAACCTAACTGCTGAAAAAAACCTCATATGGCATAAATTATATTATGCCATATGAGTTTTTTTACTGCGACACTATAAAAGATCTATTAATCTTAATTCGTCTCTCTAAAGTACATAATAATATTATATGATATTTTAGAGAATTAATTTTGTTTTTCTTGAATAAAGGTCCTCGATACAATATTATGTCTAAATACCCACAAATACGATTTCTCTCATAATATTAAGTAAATATTCCCGTTTAACTCAGTTTGTTGAGTTAATGGAATCGGTAACAAGATGAGATCATCGGATTAGATTCTTTAACGACATTAATCTTTTCGGAAAATTGCTTCTTTCGTGCTCAGTCTTGTGTTAACTCAATTTAAGCTTAGTATTATTACAGATGGAGTACAATATGATCACTGTCGGTTTTTGATAATAATTATGAGAATGCATTCTAGTACATTGACCTTTAACTTACAAAAGACGAAATTATGTACCTACTATGTTTATACGTAGTAGGTACATAATTCGTCTTTCATAATTTAGGCTTGTTAAAATTATTTTTAACAAGATTTTTTTATAAGTATATAAGTGCGCGTATGACGTATATCTCACCTTATGAAAGCGACATAACACCTATTCACTTGCGCCTTGAAAAGGCCCAAGTTATAGCATTCGGGGAACAAGTCTGCAGGCAGGGAATTCCACTCCTTTCCCGTTCGCCGTGTAAAAGTAGAAGCGAAATGCGTTTGGAATATCCACAACACAGGCATGGAACCACAGCCTACGTCTAGTCAATCGATGATGGCATGGGGAAGGCGGAATTAAATCATGCAATTCCATCGCACAATCTCCGTGATGCATTCTGTAGAATACTCATAAAAGGGCAACTGTAGTAAAAGTTTGCAATTTGAAATAGAAAACAGAAGTTTGAAGAAGTTAATATACTTAAAATACTAATTTACTAATTAAAAATATTCATAAATATAACATTAATACGAGGAATGAAACTAAACTGGCAGTTCTCCACAGCTGTCTTCACAAAATCACAAATTCATTTAAAGGGCAATGTATACGCTTCACTAATAAGATTCCGGTTAATATTCAATATTTGCTATTGACGAGGTTTTAAAACTATAGTAAAACCAAAATTTTTTTACGCAGAAACTAATTATTTTCTAATCAAAATTAATTTATTATACAAGTTCTGCGTACTTGGATGATAAAAAACCATGACAGCAACCCGTTTTGCTCTTGCAGGTTGTCTCGATCAATGATATTTGAAATAAATATTTTAATTGCTAATTATAAATGTGTTCAAATTAACAAAGAGCCGCCCCTAAAGTTTCTTGCTTACTTTTATCTGCCTTACGAATGAGTACGTAGTAGAGTTAAATCATTGTTACGATTTCAAGTGTAATGTGCTTACCAAAGAAATAAAGATTATTTAAAGTTCGAGCTTGAGTTTGACAAAATGGGAACAGCTAATGGATAGATCTTGGACTTTTTATCGCCTACAAAACAGCGTAGTAAAGTCTGTGTTATTCCTTTAGGGAACAGCGATGGGGCGTTACCATGTCAACATAACTAAGGCTCATATTGGCTCGAAAACTTTAAATTGTATTACCAGCGAACGCAAATATCATTGAAGCCCTCTCTGTTTACTCTATTATGGAATTTTCTGTTTAATCAATTGGATTTCCTATTCAAAGTTCTTTAGAAGTTGGATAAGAGTTTTCGCACCCTTGGTGTAATAAGGCCACTTCTGCAAAATTACAAAATATTCTGGTCTCTCACCACGATTCAAAGATTCTACGAACGAAATTAGTTGACAACTTTTTAAGTTTAATGAGAGATAAAATTTCATAATAATGTACGTAATTTTATTTATTTATTTATTTATTTATTTATTTATTTAACAGTTTATTGTACAGGAAAAATACAACAAGTCACAAAGAATACAAGCGAAATTAAAAACAAAAGGTTCTGCTTATTTCTAATAGAAATTTCTTTCTGCAGACCTAAATACAGGACACTATAACTAAAAGAACGGGCATATGTGCACAACAAAACAAGCAAAAAAAAAAATGATATAAAAATAATATAAAAATATTAAATTGTTTTAAATTATATAAATACTTAGATAAATACATATTTTATAATATAATACCTAAGATATGGATGGAATAGTAGACAAATAATGCTCTTTAACTCTCACTTTAAAAATAGCTAACGATTTACTTTCGTGAACAGTAATAGGAAGTGCATTCCAAAGTCTGACCGCATGAACAGTGAAGGAGTGAGAATAGAAACCGGAATTGAAGCATGGAAAAGATAACTGGGACCTAACAAGAGAGCGACAGGGTTTATCCTGGGACCTAAGGAAGCTGAAACGCTCTTTCAGGTAAACGCTCTTTTAGTAGCAGTAGGGCACCTTTTAAAACAGTTCTTCCAGAGAAGTGCTGTCACCTTACCTATTACTGTCGCCAAGCAGTAATGTGAGCATTATTGCGTTCCGGTTTGGAAGGGTAAGGGTGCTGGTGTAATTACAGGCACATTGGACTTGTCAACTTATGTCTCAGGGCGACAGGCGCAGTAGTAGTGTCCTTCACGTCTTTGCGATTTAAGCTCTGAATGGCATTGCAACTGCTATGGACAGGCGTATCACTTAGCATCAGGCGCACGACTTGTTTGTCCTGTAACTTGAAATATTAAAAAAAATTGGTTCATATATTATTGCCCCCGATGTATGATCACTTGTGATTTTTTATACCAAGGGTACGTTTTATTCTTAAATTTATGCACCGTCCTATTATAGCTAAATAAATGCAATCCTTGTTTAGGTCATTCTCGGACTAATGTTCACTGCTTAATTTCCGTGACAATTTTTATTATTTAAATGTTCAAGTGTGTTATCGTGTATTTATTGAATATTTTACAGAAAAAAATCAAATACTTATTAATAAAAATTGCCAAGGAAGTAGTGAACACTAGTCCAAGAATTACCGGTATGAAGTATGTGCTACTCAGAAAAAAAAATTTGTGAGAAACAAAATGTTCGAAAATTCGCTATAAAAAATGCAAGAGATGATTCTATCAAATCATGCAACGATCCCCTTTTTAATCCCAGCAAAATAGAATTACGGCTTTCACTCCAAGAAAATCCCATAAACGTAGGGGACGGGCACAACTGAAAATATTTTTCTCCAAGACAAGTTTAGTATTATTTTCTTAGAGACATTTCCTCTCGTATCAAGAGGCGCTGGGAGTTGGTATAAACAAGGCCATTACTATCAAAAGTATGGCTCATAGATTGTGTTAATGCGCTAGATGTTACGTTGTTCTCAAATAAAAAGGACGAAAACAGAGATAACAAAGGGAAGACAATCGTACCCTTGTTTATTGTGTGCCAGATATGAGCTATACAAAAATCGGGTCAAGTACGTAGTAGTTGAGTTACATACATACGTAGACATACCATGTATCAAGAATCAAGGAGGTCTTTATAAATGATTGAGTTCTTAGGTTTTCCCTATTGATAGCCATTAGTCAGCTGCAAATGTTTGTTTGTTTGAAAAATAAAAACGGGTCGATATCATAATGACTATATGTTCAAAACGACCACCTCTGCAGAAAGACTGTAACTTATAATGACTTGGTAGCAAAACGACTACATATCCAAATGAACATCGCGTTGCAACAAAGAAGTTTACATATTCCACTAGAGTTTGCACTTTTTTTTCATGTTAATTACAGTTATGGTCAAAATAATTAATCAACAATTATAGAAACTAAAATAAAATAAAACTAAATTTTTTTGTTTGTCATTTTTTAATACGTTTCCAACGCTTTGATAATTCATTCACTTAAAATTCAATTCATTTAAAAACTAAATTAATTACATGATTATGTCAAACCGCACTGTAGGCTTTGTCGGGAAGACACAAATATAAATCAGCAACAGGCTTCATCACAAAGAAATTAATAATTTAATTCGCTAGACTTAGTCATTTATATTTAACTATAAGAATGAAACAGGACCGCCCCGAATCTTAGCTGGCTCAAACGTCCCCATAACACTGGCAGCATTACCGAGCTGAATAGCCATCGAAATTTGTTGCATCAAGTAAGATCCAGAGCACTTAGAATTTCACGCAGTTGTTTAATTTCAAAAACTAACTGAAATTAACAAACAATATTATAATTAAAACTATCTCTTATCAAAATGTGCGATTAATACGGGCGACTACCTATCAGCGCCTCGGAAGCGGCGCGTATACGCGCAGATGACGTGCGATTACGCGCGTCGTCGTCGGCGCGTATAAAATACGCCGTGTATATAGGCTCTTAGACCCAAAAAAATAGTACACTTGTAATAGTAACTTGTAAAAGTGAACATAGTTCAGTGACATGACACAAATACGTCAGTGTTTTTGTCACATAAAACTACATGAAACAAATTACGTATAATATGAAATTTTCTAACTAAAATTTCCTATTTAACTCTTTTATGGACAGTAACGGCGGTTGTCGTAAAATTGGTTATTAGAACATATACGGGGTACCGTTTCGCTATATGGATCTCCAAAAACCAAATACGGGCTTTACAGCATGATTTCCAAGTGCTTTCTGAGTAGTTGCCGCCTACTGCTTTTCTTTAGAGAAATACCAACAATGTATTGACATTATTTACATGGACACCGACGTATTTGTATGAGGTGGTATAAGTATATATGTCAGTGACGTTAAAATTTTTAACAGGAATAGTAAGTTTTAACCAATATTTTTTCTCTAGCACGCATCATTGCATTCTTTTTTTTATACGAGAATGTTGACGAGATCAGCTGTCAGTGATAAAGCATAACTATTATATTGATTTAAAATAAGCACTATGGCATAAAAGTAGTGACTTTTTGTGTGCGGTACTACTTAAGTAGGTACTTATTCACAAACGGGTTAAGCTTATCAACAAAAAACATAATATATAAACTTATCAACAAAATTTCGCTCGTAGAATCTTTAAACATCTCTCCTGAAACTGAAGGTGCAAAAATAGCATCATTCTAATTAATAAGTTATTATTTTTAACAGTTTACAAATTCGCCTCTAAAGACAAAATGAAAGAGACAAATACAAAATATTTGTTGCAGTAAAAAATTAATCTATCGATAGTTACTTATTAATTAGCTTCTATTCATGCTCTAAAAACTTAAAATAATCAAATTGAATGGTGTTAAAATTAGACAATACATCCAATACGTAGAATGAAATTTAGGTATTCCTTATGTCCAAGTATAATTGCGCTCGAATCGATATGCAGGCACTAATTGTTCGCATACCCAGCTCACGTCATGCCAGACTACTGGATTAACCCCTCACAATGAACGATAAAAAATGCGAAACTCGTATTAGTCACTATTTTCTTTTTATGCTGGACGTATATACCGGGTTATTCGTAGAATACTATCGTCATATACAACAATTTTTGTTCCATGACTTTTTACAAAACGTAATAAGTTCACCAAAAATAAGATAACCGATTTTTTTTTAAATCGAAATAACATTTGTTCGCCCTAACCAGAAATAACCGGAGACGGAGACGGACACAGCGAGACGAGGAGGAGGAGTCTCGCCTGCATACCTTGTACAAGGAGGCGAAGCTGGCGCTGAGGACAGCCATTTGGATAGCCAAACAGGTCAGCTGGGAAGAGCTCCTAGCGATTCTTGATGGTGATCCGTGGGGGCGGCCATATAAACTAGTAATGAGCAAGCTCCGCCTTTGGACCCCGCCACTGACGTCCTCAATGCCACCCGAGGTTCTGAACAGGGTGGTGAGCACTTTGTTCCCTAGGAGGTCCCATTACATCTCTCCTGTAATGACGCCCCTACGGATACACAGACGGGCCCTATGACAGATGGGGACATTCCGGAAGTGTCAGAGGGTGAGCTGGGTGCAGCCGTGTTGTGGCTTCAAGCAAAGAAAACGGCACCCGGTCCAGACGGGATCCCCGGACGCGCATGGGTCCTCGCCCTAAAAAACTAATTTTTGAAAAAATTTTTCGAAGGAATTATTTCTCTCTCTTATTTTATATCTATATTTGGTAGTAAGGTTAAACGCATGTATGCTTCCTCCTCGACAACCCCCAACTGGGCTCTTTTCTTTTGCACAGAGTCATTAGAGCGATATATTTTAAATATTTTATTTTTGTGTGAAAGTAAAATGTGATGAATTATTAAAAGTCATGGGTCATTTATGATGTTAGTAATATAGTCCTGCGAGGTTGTATTTTACAAATAATCTGTAGAATTGAAGCCTTCAAATGTGCACGCACTAATTGCTGATATGCCGAGTGTATTATATTATTTTTTCTTTATATCGAGAATAGATATTTTTTTAAATAATTACATTAATAACGTTTATTTTCTTTTCCCAAAATACATATTATAGCAAGGAACACGTAAAATTTTGGTAAGGACCATTTTGTGGGAGACTGAGCATAAAAATGCCTGTGCGTCAGGCCACCAAGTTCTCACCTCTCAGAAATACAAGTTGAAAAAAATCACTAGGTATTTTTAACACTACTAGCATCAACGAGAAAATATTGTAATGTCGCTTCACAATCCACAAATACAAACATGGAATGAATTGAATGTTGGCAATTTGAATCTTAAAAAGAATAAAAACTTTGTACCATTTACAGCCTTATGAAATTTAATCCCTTGGGACCATCAATATTATACCACTTGCAAATATCTAAACTACAGTTTTTTAGTGTTGAATAGGTACAGATGTCGTCACGCTTCTGATTGTAGGCACAAAGCTTCGATCATAACATTCATTGTTTCTTCTTATTGAATCTCTTCTTCTTCTTAATCGCTTCGTTACTGCTGAGGATCGTGACTCCACTTCATCCTGCCAACCACTTGCCTTCATTTGTGGCGTTCAGTCGCATGATGTAGTGCGGCGCTGACTGGTATCTCCAGTTGCTCGAAGTTGCTATTGGAACTCCTGCCCTAGGTCGCTTTCCCTCCACTTTCCCTGTCATCATCAAAGGTTCAAGGTTATCAGTATCTCTACGTGACACGCGACCAAAATAGTGTATCACACGTTGCATGCAAGTTGAAGACAGACGCTATGCATTCTTTATCTTGACTTCCTCAAGTACAGAGACTTTGGTGCGGCGGGCTGTCTACGGTGCCCTTAACATTCTGCGCCAGCACCACATTTCAAAGGCATCAATTCTTTGCCAGTCGGCTGCTTTCAGTGTCCATGTCTCTGCACCGTATAAAGAGATGGAGAAGACAAGAGTGCGAATTAGACATATTTTAGTTCGGTTTCTGATATTCCTGTTTCTCCATATCTTGATCAGTTGAGTCATTGCTGTCTTTGCTATCCCAATTCGTCTTCGTATTTCAGGTTCAGAACTGCCCCCACTGGTCATCAAAGAGCTCCGGTATTATTATTATTGAATGTCCTTTTGAAATACGATCAATATGATCAGTTTATTTATTGATGACCAGTAGCCCAATCAAATAAAAAAAATCAAAAAAGGGAGGTCTTAGTAGCGCTCCTTGTGAAAGAGTTTATCCCGGGAAGGTTTGAAGGGTAAGGGTGCTGGTGAAACTACAGGCACATGGGAATTGTCAACTTATGTCTCTGTGCGATGGGCGCTGCTCTGAGTGGCACTGTAGCTGTCATGGATAGGCGTGTGGCTTACCACTACGCCCACGATTTGTTCAGCCCGTCGGTTCATATCATAAAAGAAGGTTCCTGGGTTCGATTCCCGGTAAGGCCAATTTGAGAAATGGACTTTTCTGAATTGGTTCTATACTGGGTGATTTGGTAGTACTTCAGAGTGAAGTAACTTAATCTGGTACTCATATTTATTGCCTTTTGTAGCTAGAGCATTGTAATAGTTATTTGGTTTATTTCTTAGATAATGGATTTTCTTTTTCTTAATTCCATAGCAAAAGAAAGTGTTATGACTAAGACACAATTATCTGCGAACCCCGCACTAAGCTCTAGGCTTGTGTCGCGGAATCCAAAATGGAAGACAACTTAATTTCTCAGAATGTATGTGGAGTGTGTCCTTGTATGAGTACGCAAGTTATTGAGTATATTATGCGATAGTGTGTTATGAATTTTCAATTATTTAATATTAGTGTATTTTAATATGTCTTATTATTATACCTCTATATTTATTATTATATATCTAGAAAACGTGGCAACTTTATTTATATTAATTTACTTTATCTAATTTAACTAAAATGTTATACTTCAGACTTGGAAAGAAAATTCAAGTAATGCACAGACATTTTTAGAAAAGATGGTGTTGAAATATTATGTCACTCCCCATTTTCATATCGCACGAAGTTGAATTTTATCTCGCGAGAACTGGAATTCAATTGTAAAGTAACAAAAGCATGGTGCTGCTATCTTATAACACAAGGATATCTGTAGGGGACAAAAATGCTACGTTTCACAGTCCTGTCTGAGACAACAGCCCCAGGGTTGCAAGCAATATAATGCTTATTATTTTTTTAATTTCTGGTAGTCGATGAATTTGTTTTGAGTCGATGAACATATTTATTTTTAGCTTTAGGTGCTTCAGATAAGTGGTTAATAATTCCTGAAATGTTTGGTGGATCTTGAATGCTGTTGCTGAATGTTGTAATATATGTATTACGCATAATTACTTAATCATATTTTTATTTAAGTCGGTTAATAACTAATGTCTGCAGGAAGGCTGATGGCCGAAGGAGCAGACTTATTCTAGAGTGGCTACCACGTCAAGGCTTAGGCTGCTAACAGATTAACTACACGTTTGCTGTCAATACGTGAAGTCGTAATCAACTTCATGCAGTCGTGGTCTCGGCTGTATGAACTTGATAATGACTTCACGCATTAACTGCATGCAGTCGATCTCGGCTGCATGAACTCGATATCGACTACATGCTGTTAATGCGTGAAGTCTTTATTACCTTCATGCAGTCGAGGTCTCAGATAACGACTTCTTGCAGTCGAGGTCTCGGCTGATGAAGCTCGGAAGATGTATGGACGACCTCAGAAAGGGGGCCGTGAGAGTTGGCGTGCACAGGGGCAAGGCTCATATCCAGCAATGGTTGCGTGTGAGCTGATGATGATGAATGATAACATGGCTCATTGAACATCAGTGCCA